AACGCTTACATACACAGGACAGTGAAGAGCATGGCAAGGTGAAAAAGAAAAAAACTGTGACCATGAGACAAAGAGGGAAGCAGCATATATCCTGCTGTGTTCTCAAGATATGACTGAATATGTGAAATTGAAAAGGGTAGAGGGCTGTTGACCTCTAAGTGATTTTTCATGGCAGTTTGACGTTACTGGAAGACAGCAACTAGTCACTTGCTAGTAGCAGATCCGTATTTTTTTAAAAAATAAATGTATATAAGGAGAGGTTGATGCCAATGCGTGGCGCCGGCTACTCCTCTTGCACAAAAGTCGACATCGCACATTTAGTAGCAAACACAAGGCTATACAGATAGACTTGTGCTAAGGCTATACATATAGCCATAGCACAACTTACACGATGAGTGCACATTTTTCAACACTGAGTGTCCACACCACACAGAAATGTGTCTACACTACATAGAAATGTGTCCGCACCACATTGAGTTTGTAAAAACACAAGTAGTCAGGCCAATTTAAGTGTTCACACAAAAAGTGAAAGTTCAATAAAATGTAACTGTTTTCAGCAAGTTTTTTTCCAAAAATATCATAATAAAACACAAAAATACTGTTTGGAGTATATCGCGGTTAACAGTGAAGTACATTTATTTTTTGTTTAGTACTTTTGAGCTATTTCTGATTCCTCCAGAAAGTAAATGAGTGCACGCGCTGCAGTGGCTTGTAGCTTTCCTTTTGGCCATCATTTGCTTGTAAAGCACATTAGCAACAATAAGACAGAAATCTTCCCGTGACCTTGACAATGATTTGGGCAATTTAGGTGGCACGCAGAACGTAGAGTTCAGTAACTGCGTTCACTAGTTGACATGATGTTCATTGCAGTGAGGCATGCTAATGCTCTGTGATAGAAACTTTCAAATCAAAGAAACTATTTTGGATGTGTTCGCTTACTCCAGTGTGTGGAGAGCGTTAAATACACTGCATACTAATGAAAGCAAAAATGTCTCAAAACATGTTAGTACACTTTTATGCCGCATACCAAGAAATCAAAAAAATGTCACTTGCAGGACATCCAAAATTGTGTCACTGCTCCTTTAAAACACCTTGTCAAATGTCAAGGACAAGAAGTGGTTGGAGCAGAATAAGCCAATAAAAGATGAAAAATTTTGACAGCTTTAAGCCTAGTGAGGAAGTTACATTTCTAGTTGAACGTTTGTCTTTGCAAGGTTGGTAATAACTAGGGGCGTGCATAGTGAAATGTAGAATTGAACAAATACACATTGAATAGTGATAATACCTAATTCATGCCTAATTGAATAGAGTACTATTCAAATAGCAGTTGAACAGAAAGGCACCCATTTCGAAGACAACTGTAGAGTGCCACAACACATAATTCCAAGCAAATATCCACACGTTAATGAATTAACATCGTCATAATATTTGACAACTAAAATATACCACTATGTGAACTGAGTGTTTACATACAGCAGTATACAGCCTTTGAAGTATTTTTTTTTTCATTTGTATGATGAACATAGAAGTTACATAAATATTAAAGGAGGTACTTTGCCACCAGCTCTTGCATAACATTCCTTATGATGAATCTTGTGGTAATGAATTGAGGTTACACTTTCTTCAGCAACGCTGGAGTTCAAAGCAAAAATTTGTTATTGCGGTGATGACTGAAGTCTTTGTAGTCCCGTAAAAGTGTGAAATTAGTGTATCTTCCCAATTCAATCTTTTAAATAAGAGTTTTGGTCTTTTGCTCTTCTAAAGCTTTGTTGCTTTGACATTTTGCCATTGGTTATGTGCAATTATTGTAGTTTGAATAAACTCCAAATATTCATTCAATTAAAACACCAAATCAAACAAAACACTGTTTAGTTCTTCATTTAGAATTTTTAAATAGTCAAACACCCTTAAATAAAAAATAAGGGCAGACACAAATGGACAAACGGGTACATATGTGCCGTCTGAAGTAAAGGTGTCTGTTGGAGCTGGTACATCATAATTTCATGATGAATTGACTTGCCAAAACAGAAGTGTTAAGCATCAAGTGGGTATAATTATACGGAGTAGCATGCATTTGAAATTAGCCTACATGAATTTTCTATCATAGAGGTGCATGCTACCATGCCAGGACATGCCAATGTGTTTGAAGCGAAATGTTTCATTAACAACATAGTATTCCGTAGGGCATTTCAGTTAGTCTGGTACCTTTGCAGGAGAAACTGGAGGAAAGTTCACGTACCAGCGTCATGACGACGGCCTGGAAATGGGCCATCCAACTGACAGGTTATGCCATTTGCGCACATCAATGCCTGAAACTTCAAAGCATGATAGCGTTTGTGCCCAGAAAAATAGTCTTCTTGTCTAGCTGATGGTCGACAAATTCGTCTAGCTGTTCCGTCAATAAATCCCCAGCAATTCTTCAATGGAGCACCTTTCCTGTGCAAAGCCTGAAAAATGAAATGGTAGCTGCAGAAAGCAACACATAGCACGAAGTTCCAAGACCAAAATATAGCACGACGTTCCAAGATCAAAATAAGTATAAGCTAAACTTTTCGCAGTAAACGAAGCTGCTTAAGGTGTAGTAGCTCTACCTGACAGGACGTGTGTTTGGCACTAACTCGATGTTTAGCTTCACTGCAACAGGAATTCAGATCTCTCTCCCACAGAAGAAACATTCAATGACACATACATGAATTTCGCTTATCACATTTTCAATGATAAGTGGTTCATGTGAATCTGTCATAATTATTCATTGATAGTAAATACTAACACCTTTTATGCTGGTAGTTGGCATCAGGTACTGCGTCTATTGAAGTAATGGAGTAAACTGCATGCAAAAGTAGGTTGCTGACACAGAACAGCCAGTTATATAGAGCAATGGTGCTAACCTTGGAAGGCAGGCTGCTCATCGACACAACACTGATATTTTTTAGTTTGAATGGAATTCGTTTTTCTGTGAACACTGATTAAACAAAGCTGCAAATAAAATTTGAAATTGTCTCGTTGGGCAGAAAAGTCTGAGAAATATGTCAAATGGCACTGGTACAGCAAAAAAGAAAACTGATCTATAAGGCATTGTTACAGTACAGTTGTTGTGACACTGACTACATCATGAGGTTTTTCTTGGGGCAGTAATGATAATGAGGAGGCAAAATAATGAAGGAGTAGGTGTCTGGTTCACAGAAATAACTGCTTTACAGTGTTGGGAATAAAAGGGATGTCGCCTGTGCTTTTTTTTTTTGAAGCACGCTAGAAAATATTAATAAAATTGACAACACATTCACGTATTAAATTGATGCGGCAAATTATTACTTAGAAGATGATGTTGCTACGTCATTGGTGGGGTTGATGGGCGATTTAATGTGCCTGGTGTGCTATGAATATAGAAAGCCAGAGCCTTATTTTTCCTTCATAATGACGAATTGGATTTGATCGATTTAATGTCCCAAAACCACAATATGATTATGAGAGACGCTGTAGTGGAGGGCTCCGGAAATTTCGACCACCTGGGGTTCTTTAACGTGCACCCAAATCTGAGCACACGGGCCTACAACATTTCCGCCTCTATCGGAAATGCAGCCGCCGCAGCCGGGATTCGATCCCGTGACCTGCGTGCGGGTCAGCAGCTTAGTACCTTAGCCACTAGACCACCACGGCGGGGCACGAATTACATTTAATGACCTCTACCGAAACACAGAGATGTAGTGCAGCGAAGCATAAACATAGCGCTAAAGGCAGTCAGGCAGTGCTACAGCACGCCTTCTTACCTGAGAGAACAGCTCCAGTGATTGCAGATTGAGCCACTTGTGCACTGTAAGGTCCGCAAGGAGGTTCCCGAAGTAGTAATCTATGTGGGCTAACACTTTAGACACCACACTTGATATTACCGAGCTGTGGCGCCTAAAGAAGAGCTCCAGCTCACAGAGACGATTGGGGTAGGCTACACGCCGCAACGTCATGCACAGCGCCTCGCGACCAGACACTCGAACCCGTTGAGCGCTCATGACCTCTTCGGGAATCAGCAAGGCTTCCATCAAATCTTCTAGGTCTCCTTTTTGGAACCTGAATGAGCGGTAGAATGTAGTAAAGTCGATTCCGTCCAAATCAAGAAGTCCGTTTATCTGGAGGTCACGGCGCGATGCAGTTCGGAGCAAATACATATTTTCGATTTCGTTCCATCGCAAAGTTCGCAGGAGCAGTCGGTCGTGAAATACGCTGTACGGCATCGTTGATGCAGACACGACAACAGCAAATCACCGACACTTCAACGGGATCAATGGATCGCTGCGACCGATGCCACAAAGGAGCCGTTGTCAGATGGAGCACACGAAAAGTAGGCATGAGTCGCATGACGCTTGTGTCAGCAACTCATGATGCCGATTCTGATGCCGATCACCGTGATGCTGATGTTTTCTTCATAGTTAGGTTTAAATC